AAATCTCACCACAGAAAGGAAACAACTTAACAATCAATGTTACACTGATATCTCAAAGAAAAGCATTTTGCATTGTAAACCACAAGTTAGAAGGCTATCAGTGAAAATAATCAAACTATTTTTACATTCAATACTTAAAATAAGTAATGTGAGCTTTTCATCAAAGCATGCTCTTTGCTTTCAGTTAAATGGTAGTGTACATTCTGTTAATTCGGAAAGTAAATAACACAGTTTATTTACCTAGCTGAATCTGTGGGAGATAAAATCCACTACAATATCCTTTCATATTATGGAACCTGGCACATTACAGAATCTGGGTTTCATTTAACTAAAAATCTTCAAAGATGTGCAATCAGAAATGCTGATCCTGAACAGAATTTTAAACCTCCGAATACAAGACTTCTCAATTTGTATTCTTTTGTCTGTTTTTCCACACAATCTTCAAGCACACAAATTTTCAAAGCCAGGCCTCTTTCCGAGATGGAAAAGGAATGAAGACGTTCACTAAGCAAGTTTAGAGAGATCCCAACAGTTACACACAAAGGCTTTAGGAAGATGGAGCAAATCTCTTGGATCATGGTGTGAAGGCTAACTAGATATCTATCTGGCAGGCTTTAATGAGTCAGATTCCATTCTGAAAAACCACAATTTCAATTGCTAAATGTACTTATTTACACTTTGGGATCTAAAAACGTATATAATAAATGAAAAAAATAATTATTTTAAGATTTAAAATGGAACTTAGATCTTTCCATATATTCTTTAATGACTACTGTGCTACACTTACAGGCCCAGGCATCTCTGATGTTTACTAGGTATAGCTGGGGATTAAAATTGAAGTACTAAAAATCAAAGTTGTTAGCAGCTCCCTGATTATAGAATCAGTTCAATGTGGCTGTGGCAGAGTTTACAACTGCAGAGGAAAAATGTATTACTGGAAAGTATGCCAATTGTAACTTTTGGGATGCAGTAGGCAGACTCCTTCCATTAACTCCATTGGAGGAGTGGGTATATGAGCCTCACATGTGAATTCCATGCCAGCAAGACACTCATTCCACACTGGGAAACAACTGGTGTTATAAAACGGTGGGACTAAAAGGAAGAATCCTTAACCTGATCCTGCTATTTGACAGAATGTTAAATACTGTCAACAAAAATGTTCCACTAGGTCTCCTCATGGTTAAGATTAGGTGAATTTACTTGCCTTTGGTCCAGTTTTGTCTTTGCCAATTTACCCTATTTTGCTATGTACCTGTCCAGCCATCTACTTCTGTCTTCCAGATCCTTCCTAACCTCAGATTTTGTCACCTCTCGCTTAATTCCTTTCCATTGCTCTCATTCCATCACTTCTCCCTTGTTCCATGTTATTGGAGCAAGACTTACTTTGTTTCTTTTCACTCCAGCTCCCCCTAATTCCATATTCAACATACAACAGAAACAAAAAGATGTTTTCATAAGTAATTAAGCCTATACTTGCGATTATAACTCTTCTGCAAACATTTAATTTTACCCATGTGAGTAATTCCTTCACCTCTGAAGGCATTACTTGTAGGAGTAAAATTAAGCACCTACGTGTTTGCAAGACCAAGAGCTTGGACTGTAAGCTCTTCAGAACTGGGACCACACCTTTACAATGCTGTCTGGAGACCTTCAGGTACAAACAGACATATGGGGTACATGGATAACAAATGATACCGACATTAGCTGTTGTAACCTCTGCAAGTTTCTGTAGCAATACAAAGGTATCAAAGCCATTGCCAACTTTAGCCCTGTTTCCTTCAGTATTAAAGTTAGTGATTTAACTAACCTGGACCACTTACAGTAGCATGCAGTGAGATCTTAACAACTGATGTGTGCTCCCAAGAAGCAGCTCCCCCTCTCCTATTAAAATAGCTAAACAGTATATTTGTCTACCATCAGCCCTTGGAAATGATTTGAAAAATGAACCATATTTGAAAAACTATAGTTGAGGCTTTGCAACAAGCCCAGAATAAGGAAAATAAATTTGTACTGCTCTAAGAACAGACCAGGAAGTAGGCTGTGATGTGGCTCAGATTCATGCCAAAGGAGGGATCTTCACAGGATGGTACAAATTGGGCACATCTACACATGCAATTAATGTGCCTAAATTTTCTGTGCATAAAATTCAAGCATGTGAAGCTGCAGTCCCATTCACATCTGTACGTGGGCCTGTTGAGAGCATATTTGCTCCTGATGGGAGCAGTTCAGTCCATGGCTGCTCCTGCCCTGCTCTGTCTTCCTGCAGCAGCCAGAGGTAGCTCCAGGCCCTCCAAGGGGCTGGCAATGGGGGCTGGTCCTAATCTCCATGGGGCAGGGGAGAGCTGTCTCAGTTGTGTGGCATCTGCCTACTAGCCACATGGAGACTGGGATGCATTCCAATCTCCACATGGCTGGGAGAGGTGGGAAGCAGCTGCCTCCAACACATGGAAATCCAGACAAGACACAATTTCCATGTGGCTAGGACAGCTGTCCCTGCTACCAGGCAGCTGCTTCCCACCATGTGGAAATTGGCTTTCCCAACCATGTGGACATCAGGACAGGTCCCGATCTCCATGTGGTGGGAAGCAGCTGCCTGGCACCCAGGATAGTCCTCCCAGCCATGTGGAGATCAGGAAGCATCCTGATCTCCATGTAGCTGGGAGGCAGCATCCCGCCCAGCTGAGACATCCTGCCTAGCTACCTGCTCTGGTGCCCTGCTGCCTAAAGTGACTGGGATCAATTTGCTCCCAGTCAGCATCTACACATGTGCATTGGTGCCTTAGTTTAATGCACCAATTTCTAGTACCTGTATATACAAGTACTAGAAAACAGTAGATTAGACTAATCTACTATGCAGTAATTGCTGTGAACATGTATTCAGTTATGTTTTACTATGTATTAGATTAGTTTAATGTGCAGTAAAGAGTCTTGTGTAGACATACCCTCTGTGTCTATTCTATACCATCTCAGCAGTACTAGGTGGCACAGAAACAAGGCTTTGTTCATGATCTGCTCCTGCAAAGTGAGGGGATATCTGGCCTTGGAGATGCTGGTCTCCTTTCTGCACTGCAGTCTATGACAGAGGTAGCCAGCACAAAGAGTAAAGAAGTTATTTCAGACTTTTTATTCCTCTGTTCAGACAATTAGGATAAATAGCATACTTGTCCATAACTATTCAATTGAAAATACAAGGGTGGAGCTACTCCTTTCAATTTAACATATGTGAGAGTAGAACATTCTTGCAAGTGAAACAAAGATATGTACAAGTGGAGACATTATAGGGCTGGCAACAATTGCCAAATCATAACTGTTTCTTTTTCTTTCTCTCTCTCTCTTTTTTACTACGGAATTGAGAAGTACATCTGCGACCTCTGGACTTTCTCCCTGACAATTTTTAAGTTTTTGCCATCTACTAACTACGGACACATTTGAGTTCTTAATACAATCACAGGCCTGGATTTGAACATGTGAAATAGAAGTGAACCAGAAAAGGGGGCTGGGTACAAAACACAGAGCATCCTGAGAGAAAGAAAACTATACCAACTATTAGCATTTTGTATAAACCTTATACCACTTCAGACATTTCATCACTTCAAGGAGGGTTTCCCCAGATATTGTTCTTTATGAATTACAAATACCGTGCTCAAGACTTGTGGAGGAATGGCATCTGAAATAGCATTTAAATATTAAGCCATCCTTTGACTGATTCACAAATTCCCTCTTATTTTTCAACATACCTTTAAAAAGGAAAGCAACAAATATTTTGATTTTTCCAAAGAAATTAAACAAAAAGTGGTTTGCAAATTTAAAAAAAAACTTGATAATATAATTCTCTCAGAAGGTGATACAGAATATACATTTTGATAAAAATAATAACTTGAAACTACATTTGTTTATTTGAAGTAAGAGGAATTCACTGCTACTCGGCATCTTACTGAAAGGACAGCATTAAAAAGACCTAGAACACTGAGTGAAAATAGATGAATTCTGCTGACTTGGACACATGTTCACATGCATTATAAAGAAAGAGTCCCATGCACCTTCATTGATCATACCAGAAGACATAGAATGGCCTAAAGTTTCTTCAGCTATGCACTTTTGCACAAAACCGACAGAATGTTGGCAGATCATTTTAACAGATCACATTACAAAATCCATTGTGCATGTGCAAAGTACATTTTTTAAACTCTTACTACTTTGCCAAATCATAACTGTTTCTTTTTCTTTCTGTCTCTTTTTTACTATGGAATTGAGAAGTCCATCTGTGACCTCTGGACTTTCTCCCTGACAAATTTCAAGTTTTTGCCATCTACAAACTACGGACACATTTGAGTGTTAAAAGAAATGTATTTGTTAATGATGGGACAAGTTTGTTTTTTTAAATCCTTTGCATAAAAAACTGCATGCAAATCTGGCTGACACTTTTAAAAAATTCTCTTCAACTAGAAAAAAGAAGGCAAATTTCATCCAGAAAGGTAAAATGAGTAAGGGGAGGGGGAGACAATTTCCATTTTTCCAAAAATAGAAATAATTGTGTGTTCTTAACTGTCTATTACAAGCAGTATTCTGCGCTCTGCCTGTTATTTGCATAGTATAAAGGTAATTTTTCAAAGAGCACAGTTAGGCTAAATGCTGACCATCATCCCTGGTTTCTACTCAGTCTCTATTCAGGCAAAATTAACTACACTAGTATAAGTAAACAGAAAGCATAAGAGCTTCAGAAGTCGGCTCAGTGCAATGGCTACTTCATATCCCATCATTGTTTAAAACAAATTATTAGTAGTATTGTAAATAAATAAAAGAAATCATGAAAACCTTAATTAAATATTCATTGTTTTGATTTTTCTTAGTGTCTATTCTATTGGAATCTGTGCAAGAGGTACAATACAGACAGGATTTTTAAAAATCCTCAAAAAAAAAGGCAAACCAAAAAAACCCCCAAAAAACCCTTTCAACTTTCAAAATGTGCCCCATTGGGATCATAAAATCCATGTAATTACCTGCGGCAGGATCTGTAACTGCTTGACTGGTGACGCCAGATGGTGGTTCTTGAAGCTGGTATGTTGCATTTGTGGAGGGTGTCGTTGGGCTGGAGTTACTGCTTGTCATATAATGTGAAGGATACGGTGAACTGTTATAATACTGTGCATACTGACCCTGGCCAAAACTGGGATAAGATGGATATTCCTACCGGACAAAAAAAGGCAACAGAGTGTTTTATCAAGCTTTTGCTACTTTTTAGTATACATTCCAAAATGTAAGTGCAAACACATGTCTGAGTTCCCCTGTCTTCTCTAGATGATTCATAGTAGAGGAGACAAACATGAAGTGGTAAAAGGAAACCTAAATATTACATACTTCAATTATATTGTCTTGAAAAAATAGAAGATTATTAGATAGACTGTTGCCACTGTACAAATAAACAAAAATATTCGTGCAGTTCTTTCATGGAAAAAAAGGCAGAAATACAATTCAGTAAAAACTTAAAAACTTGAAATACTGCTATCTTGAAATACTATCTTCTTAGCAAAAGCTACTGAAAAATGTCAACATATTTTTTTTAAAGGTAACAGAGGGGAATCATTGTGTGACTTGTTTGCTTGAAATACAGTTTTGCCAAACTTTCATTTAATTATAATTACAAATTTACCTGCTGTGAACTATTAAATCCAGTTGAATTTGTGAGTGAATTATTTCCTGCATATATTCCTGATGATGTTGTAAAACTGCTACCTGAAATGGAATGAAAAATTATGTGAATTACTAAAACTTTGAAAATCATTCCCATCATAAGATGATATAAGAACGTGGCACATTTGTAATATTTCCCATACGTCAAGCACTTTGGTTATCATCAATAGTGTAGTGTGTTAATACAGATAAAGTGATAATTCATTGTGTCTGTGCCCTATATTTCATTATGCAATTATGTAAAAGAAAAACTGGTGTCATGGAACATTCTCAGGAAAGAATATAGAGCTCTCAGGCTTGATTTTCTATAATGCCCATCATGCTCAAGATACAAGATCCCAAGTATTTAATGATATGAAAATTTGACTTACTTTTTTCCTTAGATGTCCTAACACCTAAAACATCCAGTGAGGTCCTCAGGAATACTGGGTCTTAGCAAATCTGAGAATCAGCCTATATGGTACACTTAGTGACATTTTTCACCATGTTTTACAATTACAAAGAAAAACTAATCCCATGCTTTAAAGTAGAGGTATCTAATCATCCAGCTCTGTGGGCTGGATGAGGGGCATAAATCAGTTCATGGGCCGAATTGGGCCCACAGACTGGCCCTATGAGCCAGATCCAGCATGCAGACAGAGTCTGGTACAGGCACCACATGCAGCACATCCTGTGTGCCGCACTCAGGGACAGTCCAATGCGTGCTCTATATGGCTCATAGGGCTGAAGCTGGTCTGAATGATGCATGCAGCCCCTAGGGCCAGTGCAAGACACGTGCTGCATGAGACATACAAGACCAGTCTGAAACCCACAGGCAGCACTGTGGGATGATCATAGGGGTGTGCAGGCCAAATCCACCACACAGGTCAAATCTTTGACACCACTCCTCTAAAGAGCTTACAAGCTTGTCCAATTGTGGAAACCATTATGATTCTCTAATTGATAATAAACGGCCTTGGGCAGTACACTTTTTTTTTTTTTTTTTTTAAGAAGGGGCTACTGGCTATGACACTTAACAGACACCACAAAATTGCATGGTTTATCAGCAGAGAGGCCAGACTGAATGACAACAGAGACCAAACTACTCCCTCTCCACAGAATGGACAGATGGGTCTCTCTCTAATGTCTGATCGGAGGTGCAGAGCTTCCAAAAGGGCAGCAACCCCCTTCCAGCTGCCCTGCCATCATTGGTTATACACCCAGGAGCAACTATGAAGTGAGACATATGGATGTAGAGAGTGAAACTGTGGGAGCTGCAGAAAGCTTGTCAAGTGACAGAACTCTTTCAGTTGTACTGAGGCTGGGGGAGTGAGTGCGCAGGGATAGCCTGTATTAACATGTATTGTTTGTTTACAGCCTCCCCTTCTTTGGTTCAGTTTCCAGTAACAACAATTAAAGATAAACTGCAGCCCAGGGAAGATGCTGAGGGCTAATCAAAGGAGATAAGGTGAGAAATCAAAACAGATAAAAAGCACAGTGCATTTCTTTATTGCTCCCTGTCACGACCAAACAGAAGCCTCTAGATAAAGTGAGGTCAAGGCCACAGTGCCCTCAATCTTGTGAGTATTTTTAGTGCAGTAGATTGAGCCACCTGTAATGCTGTGACTTAAGTAGGAGAGAAACCGCACCAGGATAGCCAGGTTTTGCTTAAAGAGACACTGTAAAATAAAAATAGTTTTAAAGTTCTTCAAAGTTATTCCAGGCTTCAGAAATCCACACCATTCACACATCCTAAACTTATATTAATTTCAAGAAATATGGTGTGCAATACTTAGCACATCCTTTAAGGCTCATACATTTACTATACCCTCCTTTTCTCTCTATTTTTAAAGCGTGTCAGCAATAATGCAAGTCTTACAAATCCTGAGGTAAAAATATATTAAAATAACAGAATTATGGAAGTTACTAAAACGTGTATGCCTCATAGCTGCCAAAGGCCTTGGGGGTGGGAGCAGCAGTGAGTGCAGGGTCTGTCCTATAGTATCATGAATGAAAGGATTATTTAAACTTGATGCAAGAGAGAGTAACCACAAAAAACATTTAGAGTGTCTCTTATACACCTCTGTAACTTGCCACTGTCACTGCTGGGACTGTGCAGTTGTTGATAGATGCTCATAATCCTGGGAGCTAAATCAGACTGCCTCAGCAGAAGAGGCTGTATCCAAATTTAGCAAAGCATACAAATAAATGGAACTAATGAGAAAAAATAGCAGGGTTTAAATTTAATTTTAAATAGGCAGATGGACACTACTTTTTATGTTATCACTAGTGATAGAGCCAGTGCCCAGGGTATAATATTTTCAAGAGATGAAGTCTTATAAATGCTTTTATTGCCATGAATGTCACAGTTAGAGAAAATAAGTTAATATGGATCTGTTTGGTTTCTTAACATTTCCAGTGTTGCAGAAGTAATGTATGTGCATTATAGGTATGTTACATGAACTAGCCTCTTATATTTCAAAAGTTCTGTTTGGGGGCTAGTGCATTATCTTTTCACAATATGCACTGACAGATAATTTACAAGAGCAAATGAAAAAAGTAATTACACCCCAGACAACTTATCACTAAAAAATAAAGAAAACCCTTCTCTCTTTCATCTTATGGTCAGCATTGGCTCCTACAGAGGAGGGGTGGGGGTCTCACAGACCGTAACAAACATGAAACAGGTTTCTCAGAAACTGCTGTGTGGGCCACCCAGGGCTACTGGCCTAGAGTTGTTTTAAAAATACATCAATTTTGCCACATTTTTTAATCAGTTGTGCCCTGGCAAAGAGCCTGTTGTTCCTGAATTAGCTGAACAAACACAAAAATGTGAAACTATGAAATGTACAGGCTTACTGCACCAAGTTGCCCAACTATGTAAAGTTAAATGTGATAAAAGCTGTAAATTGCAGGTCAAAGGTCTCTTTTGCAGAGAACAAGGACCCACATTAAAGCTCGGAATCTCAGTCAGCGTATGAAGAATGCTGGAACCTGCTGGGACTAGTATGCAGCTCCCATGTGCAAAACTTTTTCTCCAGTACTTCTACAACAGGCAGGATGCTGTCCTCCCCTGTGCATTTTCTACAGAAGTCCATTTGCTTTCCTTGATCAGACTCTTTGCCATGGGCTATGTCTATCATCGGGGCACAATATATGTGGCAGAAGTTAGAGCAGCTCTCTGGGGAAAAGCCTATGAAGGCCAGATGGGCTATTTAAACCTAAGGTTTCTTATTTTTGCTTACACTGTTTAAAAATCCTTGGCAAACCCTCCCTAGTTGTCTTAGTAACTGCTTAGCCATCCAGTGCAACATTTTTAAACTGTATAATAATAACTGAATACCTTAACATTTACTTTTTATGGCTAAATTCCCAAATCCATTAGTTAGTATATTCTGAATCATAACAACCTGCAAAACTAAAGCAACAGCAGTGCTAAATGCAGGTTAATACCACTGAAGCTGAATGATACACGAATGCAAACTACTTCTGAGCTCTTCTCATAACTATGTGCGGAAAAGGAACATAGCTTTTAAAACTGAAAATAAGTAGGTTGCAAAGTATGGTTCATTTCGCTGCCTTTTATCCCCTTATGTTCTTCCACACTTCCCTTCTCCTCCTCAGGTCCCCTCGTCTCTCTCTATTCTGATTGACCACTCCACAAAACCCTGGCACCAATGCAGAAATTGTTGGCCTAACTGCAACCTTCCCTTATGTCAGTGGCCTTCTGACACCCATGACACTGCTTATATTAATAATAGCTAAAGCATCATTACTCATAAAATAAAGGAGAGGGGAAGAGGGAGGACAAAACCACAGTAGTTTTCCCTCTCTATATAGAAATTTAAAAAAGATTAGAAGCCCAAGAACCAAATATCATCTCTGTACAGACAAACAGCAATTTGCCTTATGACTTTTAGTCTGGTAGCTTTTCCCGTAGCTATTTTTCAGTTTCTAGTTATTCTGTAATGCTAATAGTAGCAGAATGGCTTTGTTTAACTGGCTGATATACGACATCTAAGTTTTAGGGTGACAAGTCCCTCCTTGTGGGAAGTGAAGCACAGTGGGCTCCACATTATTTAAACTGAACGGAATCGCAGGGCATCTTTACATGTGCTCTAGGGTGAGGGGTGGTGGTGCTTTAATTAGAGTAGCTGCAAGAGCCACTCTAATTAAAGCTCTGCAAACCACATGTATTCAGTGTCCCAAGCTTGAAAATGGTGGCAAGAACGCTTTAACTAAAACTCATTTGATGAGCTTTAGTTAAAGCGCCCCCACTGCCATTTTGAAGTGCAGGGATGCTGAATACATGTGACACGGAGGCTGCTGAAGTGTGCTAATTAGCATGCATTGGAGCAGACGCCTGGTATGTATACTGGTGCCCATTATGGTGGTGGGTTGGAAGAGGTGCAAGCGCAACAACTTCTGAGTTATCTGCACCTCCCCTTTGTGCAGAGGGGGAAGCCAGAATGGTCTCAAAAGCACTGACTTGCAGAGCTTGTTATGAACCAGGGATGAGATATGTTATCTTGAGCTGGTGGCTTGAAAGCCACATAGAGACAATGGAGCAGAGCAGCAGTTTTATTCCAATGTCTATGGAAAGCCTGCATTGTATTATGCACTCCCATGGGTAACAGGAAGGGGAAAACAAATCCACTCCTCTTCTGAAGGTCCTCTGCACAAGTGGAGAAGCTGAATTAAAGCCTAAAAAGAACAGTTTATACAATGAAGCCTTTCAATTTCCAGAGTTAAAACTAAGGGGGAAATAAGGATGTCTGCTTATTTTTAGGATCTATTAAGCCAGAATAAAAAAAATTAAACCAGGTTAAGGTTGTTTTGAAATACAAAGCTAGCCCAATTAAAAGACACATGAGAAAGAAAATGGCAGGAAACATGGCACAGAAATAGTCCTGCAAAACATTAACTGCACAAAAGAACTGGCTAAAAAGATGTCGTTTTCCCTCCTGACCCTCCCATAACTCGATTAACATTTCATTTGGATGATCCGCTACATCTCTAGTTCAGTTTTCTTTGGGGATCCCAAAGGGCTTCACTCCTGATGCCCTCTTTTCCTTCTACACATGGGATCTGCAAAATTTTATTTGCAACCATGACTTAACTGCTGTCTATGCCACCGACTTAGATCTATGAGTCTCCTAGCTCTGACTCATCACCATCTATCCAAATCCAAAATATCAGCATGTCTCATTGCCTGTGGTTGTTTAGTTCTCAGCCTAAGGTCAACATGGGCAAAAGAGCCCCTCATCTGGAAAAGCATTCTTTGCTCTCAGTCACTTGGAACAATACCACAATCTGTCCTAACAGTGAAGCTCATAACTCAGACACCATCTTTGTCTCAGCTTTTTTCTAAATCTTCCACACAGTTCTTCAATTTTGCTGCTGCTTCTTGCACAATGATTTTAGGATCTGATATTTCCTCTCTGCCCATACAATTTAAAATGCTGATTTCAATTTAAAGTCATACGATTTCCTCTTATGGCTACTGCAATCAACCTTTTTGACCTTGTTGAATCCAATATTGTCCCACTGATGTCCATTAAAAAGCTGCTGCAAAAATCTTATTCTTGGCCAAACACTATCATCATTATGTTCTCTCTCTCTCTCTACCTCTGTCTACTTTTTCCCCTTTTACTGAATCAAATACAAGTAACTTCACTTTCAAGGCCCTTTATGGACTAATTCCACACTGCATGTCATTTCCTACCTATCATACTATTGTGATGCTAATTCCCACCTTTTTTCCACCAATGATGCCAACCTTCACCCTGAAATCCATCATTAAAACTTTTTTGTTGTTTATTTTATAAAACTTGAAAACCATTAGGCACCTGCTATGTTGTGACCATTATTTATTATATTAACTAACATCATCTCCTTGTTGCATTGTAACCTCCCAGTCCATTTCTCATACCTTATCTTTGACTATAAGGCTCAGATTGTCTCTAAAGTGACCAAAAATTCCAGCCACTTGCCACACATTTTCCTATCAAGCCTTGGGGGAACAATCTTATTCTATTTTTAATATGTCTATGACTCCCATTCCCTCAATGGACCCAGTGTGTCCATAAAGAGCAATCCTACTCTGCCATGGGTATGGACGGCTCTCTCACACTGGACACAGGCAGCAGACGTCCATCCGGATGATCACATTCTGTCCAGGGACACAACGTTCTTCTCCTCTCAGTGGGGCAGATTTAAAGGGTTCTGTCATATCGATATCCAGCTTGATTCAAATTACTAGGAGGGGAGATGCACTGCTGGGATCCAGCTCACTCACAGGAGATACCTTCTAGTGTGCCTGGCAGACTGCAACATTGACTTCAATGTAAAGTAAAAGGTGAGAGGACAAGGAGGATGTGGTTGAGCTAGTTCCCAATATTTGCCCAGTTGCTTAGTGGTTAAGACATTTACCCAGCAAATGAAAGACCTGGATTCATGTTTTCCTCTCCTGTCTCATTATCTTGAGGGGGTATGAGCCCACAGCTTCTACTTCCCGGGACACTCCTCTCCACAATACTGAAGCTATTCAGCACATACAGTTCAAGAGGTAAGAGAGGTCTCGCTCCCCCTTGGGTCTGAGCAAAAGATTGGATCAATAAGCCCTAAAAGCTGCCAAACCTAAGTGAAGTCCCATCCTGTTAATCTATTAATGATCATCTGCTCCAGGACATCTGACTATCAGTTATATGCATAATTTATAACAGGCCCACAAAACTCATGCCGAAATTAAATAAAAAAGGTCTTATTTTTGGTTCCCTGACTTGAGACTCTCTGACCATTGTCTTCAGCTTTGCAAACATGAGTGCTCATCAAAATCAGGCCCCAAACTCTAAGTTGGGCACCTGAGACTAGAGGCCACTTATGAAAACTCTGTCTCTTAGAATGGTCAGATTCCGTAAACACATTTGGCTGTTTAATAACAGAGAGATGATATGCATGAAGAAAATTGCTCTTCAAGTGATGTTTAAAATAAACGAGTGAATTTAGGGGGAAAAAAATTGATAAAAATAGTAAGCACTTATACCAGCAAAATACTCTACAGTTATTAACTAATGATCTCTGTCATCTCTAGTAGATTAAGTTTTTTTTAATCTGTCTTTCACAGATGAAGAAAGCAGTTTCAGGTCTCAGTTATATTTTTATTCTTCATATGTTTATAATCATGGAAAGTTCCTAGTCTTAGACCTTGCTCCAGCCTTAAAGCATATTACTTCACAATTTGTAACAATATTGTTATTTACAGATATTGTCTTAAGTGTAGCTCCACTAGAAAAAAATCGAAATTAAAATGCTAATTAAATAAAAACTAATAAGATCTTCAAAAGTTCTTATCGTATTAAAATCAGTGGAAGTTAGCATTTACTGTAATGGGAGCAGAATACCAAACACTTCTAAAAATAAGAAACTAAATTGCTATTTGTTTTATTTTACAGAGAAAATATTAATAATAACTATAATGCAATAGTCATGGGAATACATTTCCATACTAACCTTGCATTTGGTAGCTATATGGAGCCTGTCCTGGTTGAGGTGTGCTAAAGCTTGTACCGTAGCTTAGAAAGCCTGTCTGTCCAGGTGACTGTGATTGTGATAATCCGCCTTCTGTCTTGATGCCTGCCCACAATGTACCTAAATCAGTTAGTGGACAGCAAATCTATTTGTTCATATTCAAACAATGATGGAAAATAAATCACATAAGCGACAGTGCTTTAAACGTATGTCCAGTACATGCATTACAACGATCATTCTAGATATGTACCTGGTGGATGTTATAAGGTATGTCTAAATGCACATAAAATGTGAGAGTTTTAGTTCAATACTGATTATTAAAAATGAAAAATAATAAGAGAAACATATATTTAGGAAGTTGCACTTTCCAGAAAGGCACATATTTTTGTATTATTTTCCTGCAACACTCTCAGAAGTTAACTTTTCCATAGTTCTCGGAAACTGAGCAGAAGGCAGAAACTTTCTTCTATGGATGTAACAATCTCCCCCTTTTTAATAACATCACAGTTGAGATTTGCATTGGTTAACATTTATGACTTAAGCAGCAACAGTCCTGCATTTAGATTATATAGCTCCAAATTCTACAGAATGCATGCATTTCCCTTATAACAGGTAATTAAGATGGCCTATTAGCAAAAATGTTATATGCATTAAAGTAATATTCTATAAATTATATACCATGTTTAACCAATACATCAAAATAGCTATAATGGACACTAAATATGTCTTAGACAACCTCTCAAGCTAAAGGGGAATACAGCACTATCATTAATCTGCATTAATGACAAGAAAATCCATTACAAAACCTGTTCTAATTTACAAATTTCGGTAAAGGGCTAATCCATAGCCCACTGAAATCAATAGAAAGACTCCCATCAACTTCCATGGGCTTTGGATGAAGTCTTAAATGACTAAGCAATGAAATATCTGTGAATGAAATATCAATGAAATGTGCATTATTTGAACACTAATTTAATTTTAATATTTAGTGATATTTCATAATGTGCTAACTTTTTAAAGTAGTCTTAGAAATAGAATCATAATATATTTCAAAGAAGAACTTAGAATTCATTACAACATTTTATGATCACCTCTTTGTTCAGAAACCACCATTATGAAAGGGAGGGAAGTGCAAAAAGTTATTGCACTTGTAAAACATACAAGCATATGCTCCAAATATCTTTTATGACTGCATATTTTTCATGCACAGTTTTGAAACATGTAAAACTGTGGCCCTGATTTTTTTGTTTCATAACTACTGCTGCCATGTTTGGTAATTGTCAAAGCAATTGTACTTAAATAAACTGTTCTGTTTACTCTCTCTCTTTCCTCTTCTAGCTCATCCTGTACTTAAATCCTAATGATAAACCTGACATTTGGACCCACTATGAAATTCCTACTTTAAAATGTTTGTGTCAACTATGCCTGCTGCACTTAAATTGCTTAATTCAAAAGATCCTTGAAATACTCATTGATTTTTTTTCAAAATTTGATTAAACTGAATTCAAATTTAGAAATCTCAGCTGTTCAAGCCTCACCCTCTTATTATGTGGAGAAAGCATGTTTCCTAGATTGCATTTTTCCTAGAAGCATGAAGTTGGACAAAATTGATTGGATACAAAAAAGGATTTTCAAGAGGAAAATAGCACTGAGATCCAGCTTCCCATCTGACTATTCTGCTAGCCTTCAAGGAGTAGAGGGAGGAGCCTTTCATCTCCTGAGATCCAACACCTCTGTCTGCTCTACTTCACTGCATCTTCACTTATCAGCTCATCATGCTCCCTTACCTTCTCTTTTTCTCTGAACTAGCTCAAACATGAGCAAAATGTATGTGGGTCTGGGAAGCGCGGAGGCTGAAAAGGAGCATGAAGACATTACCAAGATCAAAAGGGAAAAGAGTAAATGAAGCCTTTTCATGATATCAGTGGGTAGGAGTGGGGGACCTCCAGAAATGAAAAACTCCACTTGCCGGCCCTCTCAGCAGCTTTGCACATGATGTACCATGGCCAAGTGCTTGCTAGGTCTAAAATGAGCCATTATTAGAGGAAAAGCTATTTGGGGCACTCCTGTCATGGTCTCAACATGACTTCTAGTTTGGGACAGTGCCTGCAGAGCAGGTGTAGCATGGCTCAGTAATGCACTTCCAAGTGCTATGTGAGGTGGTATCTTCAGAGTGTTCAGTAAGTTCTAGAATCAAGAGGAAAGAAAAGAAAAAGATTGAAACCTAAAAAGTACATTTTTCTCCTTTCATATTCTGCAGGCCATGTATCTGACATTCTGCTCTCCTTACATGTGTTGGAACCCCTAGGCATGGAGAGAAATAAAGAGAGTAGACCAAACAGGGATGTACCGTGCAGATGTGGAAGGAGATCTTGGCCTCTAAATATGGCTTCACCCTATTTGTATCATGCTAATGAGTAGTCCCATAGCTTGCAGTGTGACAGCTTATGTGACTATAGTCTATCTGAGAGGGGCTGAAGGATGTGCTTCAATGTAACCATGCATAAGAAAGCAACTCTCAATAACAGACAACACAGATGACAGGGGGGCAGCTGAAGTGGGGAGGTGAAATTCAGTCCCCACTGAAGTCACCTGGCATTTTGCTATTGGCTTAAGCAGGATCACGATTTCATCCAGCAAAGGAGAAAAAAGGAATAACCATATGCGTTTCCCAGGCTCCCATACATAGCTAAGGACAGGATCTCAGTAAGAGAAACTCATAAGAAAAAAAAAACATTATTTGCACCAAAATATATTTTAATATATTATATACATATTAATGTATTAATTCTAAAATGTAATGTTTTAGATGTTTCAGAGGTGAAGAAAAGAGTTGAAACAGGTGTGTTAATTTTAGAGTCACACACTGGCAATATAGATCAACACGTAATCTATAGGGAAGACAGGTGAAAAAAGCAGTTGTAGTAGGTACAGTAATACTGCCAGCATATTAATGAAAATTACATTTTGCATAAATAAAGGAAAACCATAACAATACATAACTACATCAAGTGGAAGTATTTACAGGGTCCTACATATTTCAGCTGTCATAATGAGAGTCAACTAGAGATGGAATTATTCAGCCTAACATTATTTCCTATTCTAGGCATAGGGAACACCAGCTCATACTGATAATGTCTTAACTACCAATATAATGGGTAAAAGAAAACTTTTAAAGTGTGTGCTCATATATTACTGTATTTACTGGAATACAAGATGAGTTCCCCTGTAATCAGCAGGGGGGAAAAGTCCCTCGTCCTACATTCACATACAAGGAAACCACATTAAATATATTGTTTATCTTCAAATTGCTGCTAAAAGTAGTGTGTGCTCAGTACTGTAAACCAACTCTGAGGTTGGTCAAATGCAGCCAACAGTGAGCATGACTATAAAAACACATAACTTGTATTGGGCAAATATGCTGATGGGAATCTACCACGAGGATAGGTCAGCGCAACCCATTTGAAGAAGATATACAGTAGTGCCCCAGCGCAGTCCCCCTCAGCACCTACTCCTCTTTTTCAAGTCATAGTGAACCACTAGATTGCATTCACTTAGACTTCCTCTTCACTCCTACAGCTAAGCTGCACCTTTCTTTCCCATTTCCAATTACTCCTGTTTCTTTACCAGCCTTAAATATCTGGCAAACATCACCAAATGGGTCCGCTAACAGTTAACACAGAATACTTGTGTCACCCCCTCTCTAAGCCTGTTGCATACAATTAGTGTGGCCTTGCCCTCCATGAGATAAAGCCAGACCAGGTTGCTCTACACCTCATTTGCGTACAAAATTTTGGAACATCCCAGGACTCATGACAAGAACACCTGGTTCCAGTTATGAGAGGGGTCTAATTAGCATGTGGATCCTTTGTTTGGGGTACCTGGAGTACACACACATACTAAGCAGCGCTGAGCTGTCAGATCACCATGGCTTGAAATGCTGTCGACTCTGGTGGGGCCCAGGCCAATGAACTATATAGTAAATCATGAGCTTTTTTACTTTAGGCTAATATCATACATAATTTGTCTTATATATAAATAGGTGCTAAAGTAGTAGTTAAAAGTGTATTTATGGAGTACCTGTGCTAAAACTTGCAGCAGTTTCCAAAATAGTAAAATACATCAATTCTAAGGGAACTAAGGCTATGGGTACTATATGCAAATTACTGAAACTATGCGTATTTCAAGGTCAGTTTTTTCAAATTTTGTTTTACTTCTATGTGCTCAAGGGGAGCAGGATCTGGCAGTAAGGAGGGGGTAAAGGGGCTACTTGACCCCCCCTCCCCCCCATTTTATTTTCCCAGTGTAGCAGAGGGAAGGGGACAAATTCAAGACAAACCTCCAATAATTAGATTCTATATGTGAAAAATTATATCTAATTTATATTTTCCATATATACAACCTAAGTATGAAGAGGGCCATCTTATATTCAGGGTCATCTTATATTTGAGTAAATACAGCAATACCATATATATGGTATGTGTGTATACATACTTATATTACAAAATATATCCCAGAGACATATGGATCATATATTTTCAATATACTCTAAGAAGGTGCACATTTCATACTTTTAATGGATTTTCAATGGTGAAATGTTATGTAGGCATTAATGTAATGTAGACATTAGACAGTCTAGTAATATTATAAGTGGCCAGGTTGGGTTAGTAGCTGCTTGAGATTGCCTAAAATGAAGAAAAAGTAAGTTATTTTTCATATTTCACCTTTTAAATCTGCTGCTTCTGTGAGATCTTTCCCTTGAGCTATAACCTTGACCACTTCATTTTTTGCAGGGGACTTGTCAATGTTACATAAAGAATTACATCTGTTCAATTTTTTTTTTCTCTTTGCATTGTTTTTAAAGCACTAAAGACTTCCAGAACATCTGAAATTAAACTCTGGAGGTCAGATCTTCAGCAAATATAAATCAGTATAACTTGAATGATTTCACTGGAGCTAAATTAATTTGTACTAGCTGAGGTATAAAGACCTTTATTTATCATTTTATCCTTGTTTGCAGTTGGAGAGCACAACTCCTACTGAAGTAATAGAAACTGTATTTGTGTAAGAGAAAGAAGTAGGTGCTTAAATTCTCCTTTTCTCCTCTTGTCTGCTTCTATCAACAGTGATACTTTTATTAACCTCAATTTATAGCCTTAGTTCCTTCTATAAGTAGTATTCAAAAATAAAAATAAAAGATAAAAACAGTGTTGTATAGGAAGTTATGAGACTTGATACAGAACTACCTTCATTGCATTTGTCATGTAAATTAGTCATTAAACTACAATAAATACATGAATGTAACATTCCTTGTTCCAAAAGGGAAATTACATGCAAGATTTTTATTATTAGAACGTACATAAATAGCTAGTCCATTAAATACTAAAAGCTATGCTTTCTAAAGGTAACACAGTCCTCTACAAAAATGTTTACTTCAGAAATAAAATAATATTGATGTTGACTCTTACCATACGAAGGGATTCCATAGGGTTGGCCTGGCTGTGGATACGTGGCATAAGCTGTAGCTTGTTGCATCCCTGTAGTAAACTGCGTCTGCCCATATGCAGCCATAGTTTGTGAGGAAGGGGTAGGAAGAATATGTGGGTATGGTCTGCTATTGATTACAAATGATAAAAAATAGGAAAGCCTTTGAATTAGAGACAGACAAGCAAGTACCTCTGCTAAGCATTAAATAATCCGGCTATCTGATTAACCATACTCATAAGATTTTATGAGAGAACAAAACTTTCACAATCTATGCAAAGAATAATAATAAGTCAATAATAAAAATAACTCAATAAGAACTTTTCTAAATATTCTTTCAAATAAACTCTTAAACTAAAAGAATACAAATCAAAAACTTTCTCATGAGCAAGCTTTGGTTTAAATTATGATTTAACAGATGGACAACAATTATGACTCTAAATGAAGCTAAAATCTGCCTATTTCAATTATTATTACCATTATTTTTATTATTATTAAAAAAAAAAGATGTCATACTTGGAAGGATAAATCTGTGGTGGAGAGAACTGGTGTGTTTGTCTTGGGCTGAAACCACTGCTTCCAATTGCTGTACCAAAGAAAAAAGCACATAAAAGTGTATTTAAAACAGAACGAAGGTCAATATTTATTTTTGCTAACAGAATATAATTAACTAAATTATGACTAATAATCTTAACTAAACAGTAATATTTTAGTAGTGACTGGTACCAGTACAGGAGTGCTCGATATTAAACGGCCTTTCTGTTCAGTCACAGAGAAATAACTTAATTATTTGCTTGCATGCAGATAATATTTTCAAGGCAAACACATTATTTCCAATAAATGCCAATGAAAACACTTTACTGAAAGTGTTTCCTTCTTATTTTCAGAGGATTGTGATATTTTAGTGTAACATTGTATTAACTTTTGGAATATTCAAAGACCTGTATTTTATAACAGAGTTTTAAGTATGTTTCCTATTGAAAACTCATGGACAGTTACAGAGCATGTGCCTTTTTTCAAAAAAAGTTCGGTAATACTTATGATATATTATACCTACTTGTGATTTTTTCTTGCACTATCTACTTAGTTATACTTGTAGACTATGAAAACCTTTAGTATTTCATAAAGATGCCATGATGAAATAGCGGATGAAACACTTAAGTGTGGGAGATGAAGAAGCTAACCTATTTTTATTCCAGAAGTTCATGCATTACTGGTTCTAGATACCCATTTGCGACTCCACAACAATCACTGCTAACACAGGAGTTTTAAATAAATCCATTAGAAGAAAAGCTTTTGACGTTTTAGGGCATCAAAGAGAAAGGAGATCAGGTATATTTGCTTAGGTTGGGTCTTATGTCCCCATCATTATTTGCAGATGTACCAACAATAAAAGCATTTTTCTTTCTGATTGCTATTTGGTTGCCATTTTTACTTCACGTCTCAAGGTCAATCTTGAATCCCTTGCTGGGAAAAGGTCAATTTCAGGTGCTGAGATCTCTGTAAAAAGTCTTTCCTGGCATCAGAAAATACCATGCCCTTTTGTTAAGTGCTTGGGAACAAACAAGATACGGGCAATACAATTTCCAAAGATAGTCAAACCAAGCAGATTCTTATTTTGTAAGTCGGAAGCGAAGACATTTGTTTTCAGTACTACAAGTACATAGCTATTTCTATAGGCATGACCATTAGTGAGAAAGATAGCATAAAGAGAATTTCTCTTATATTTTTACATCAGCTGTTTCAAGCGAAATGCAAGTATACCCCAACTCTATAAATTTACATTACATATGCTTATTATAAGAGTCTTGAAATAATTTCCAGTCTAAGTGTGTTCTCACATACTGTGCTTTTAATCACCTCTGAAAAATAGTGACAATAATTAAAGTATCATCTTTCACACAGCAGTTTAGTCTATTAGCTAATGGAATTAAAGTCTTCCAAGGATTGTTAAGGTCCATGTGAGGGGCTCAACTGTCCTTTCTATCCGGGCTCTGTTTGCTGCAACAGAGACTGTCAGGAAGCCAATTATAGCTCCCTGATCTGGTGCTGGTTCCAACATCTGAATAGCTAGTATCTGCTGTGACTCCCATCAACATGCCTTACATCAGCAGACAATCAATAAAGCAGGGCTCTGTTCTGACATAACTCACATCTTACAGGCCTCATGAGTAAGAGGGTTAGAGATGAAGGTCTGGTATAGGAACCAACTTTGCTGTGTTTATACCAATGGGCAGTTACTCTCTGCCAGAGAAATCCATCCCTTTCACAGCATTTGAAGACCTCAAATAGGGTGGAGGATAATGGTAAATCTATCCTTATTCAATTCAAAACTGTATTCTTTGATCTCTAAAAATATTTTGGGTGCACTCTTTGGTCAAATCAGCATAGATACCTGTGGCCTATATCAACTAAGGCACATTATCTGGTCAATTTTAAGTGGATCTTTAAAGTCAACACGTATTTGTAACAATCAGTGTAATTACCATAGCTCTATTATACCTCCCTGCAAGCACAGCTGTAACTTGTACATTTGGAAGTGGGTCCAAATTACAAATAAGAAAGACAGAAACACACAGGCTAGGGACAAACATTATACATAAACTGGTTTAAGTGATCAGAAACTGGTTTCAACCTATATACAGAACAGATGTTCAGTGCACATAAGCCAGTTTGAAAATGGCTGAAATTAGTTTGAGATAAACCTGGTTGAATGTAGTATAAGACTTAACTGATTTGGCTCAAGCTTGTTTATGCAATGTCTGACCCAGATCCCTTGCTGGTTTAGGATAAACCAGATAGCCCCAGCATCTCATCATGCTCTCTGGGCTGGGTGAGGCTCTCTGCTCCACAGCAGAGCTGGCCCCTCCCCTCTGCTCCCTGCCTGGAGCTCCGGCAGAGACCTGCAGATACAGCAGGGTCTGCCTGGCCTCCTCCTGCCTTATCCAGTCTTGCTGCTCACCGTTTAAGCAGGAATCCCCCCCACCCGCAATATCCCAAAGCACAGACCCCAGCCCCAAGGCCCCATGGCATGTGGTATGCTAGGTAATGCTGAGAGGTGTCTGTGTGCATCTCTCTCTCCAATTTCACTAGGACAGGTAGACAGAACAGGGACTGGCTATTTGGATCTAATTAACAGGTCAGCTGGGAAGCTATTTAAAAAGAGTTGGAAATAATGGAGAGAGGCTATTGTTTTGCTGATGAGGTGATAATCACTGTTATCAGTCCCCTGCTGGCTTGCTCACTTACCAGTTTGCTGCAGACAGTACAAAGAAGCAGGAAGAGGGAGATTGAAAAGCTCCGTATCATCAACAGATGCATGCACTGCACAACCCCCCTTGCCTCAGAGGGCTAGCAGGGGGCTGGGGGCTGACAACACTTCTGCCCTCTTGCAGTCAGTGAGAAAAAGCCTGGGACCATGCAGGCAGACCTCTCTAATCAGAGGTCCTGCGGGGGCCTGGCCATGCCCCCCATCAGCTCAGTACTGTCCAAGGGAAAGGAGGGCTGCTCTAGCACCCCCTTCCCCCAGCTTGTAGCCTGAGCTACAGTAGGCCTGAATTTCCTCAGTCCAGAGAGAATGTCTGTCCAGGTAAAAACCAGTTCAGCCTAGCCAGGTTAGACTAACCTGCAAAGATTGAATCAATTCAGGCTCAGGCTTTTTGAATGTCTGTCCCTAGCCACAAGGAAATTTGGAACAGGTTTGAATTCAAACATTTGGGTACAAAATCCATAGATAACCCTCTCTATATCAGGGATCCCTTAGCACTAGTGGAAAACAAATATATATGTTACAGGGAATGCCTGAAATTCAGTACAATCATAAAGATGCACTGGACACCCCAACAACTTCACAAATTTGCAGCTGCTCCCAGTGATTGTGTTAATCTAGGATTGTGTGAATTTTAGTACCATCCCAGAAGCTTGAGGCAACAAGATGTGATCAAATGTTCATCTGTGGCTCCCTCATCACCAGACTTCCAGGATATATGGAAGTCTGGTGATGAGGGAGTCACAGATGAACATTTGATCACATCTTGTTGCCTCAAGCTTCTGGGATGGTACTAAAATTCACACAATCCTAGATATTTCATTTGCCCTTAAATCAGATAGTTCCATAGTGGGACCCACACCCAGCTAATGGAGACTACTGTCATATCAGAGAAGACTGACACACAGAAATTCACTGATTGCAAAATGTTATATTTTGCTATATTGGAAAAGTAAATCCTACCCTAAAACATGAAGACTGGCATACTGGAAGGAAGGTTTTGTAGGAAAGGAATGCATATGATAGAAAGTAAACCCCACAAAAAAGAGAATTTCTTAGAACTTTAAGAGACTTGAAGCTAAATCTGTCTTCCCTTTGCTATCTCACTGCCCACCATTTTTTCTCCTGCAATCTACAAATTTCCTTGTGCTTTTTTTTCTAATTTAGTTTTGTTTGATGTGCCATAAAAATCTTTGTAACAGCTGAAAATGACAGTTAATACCTGGAAATTCAAGTACTGTATGAAAATCGCAGTATACTCTCATTTCTACTGTACAGTATATAAAGCCTCTGAGCCTTTGTAAGAGATGGTAGCATTTAAATTGCATAAATATAATAAATATTTTTATGAGCTTTCTGCATTTAAGCACATAACATTTGTTTGGTTGTAGTAAGAAAAAAAAGACCAAAATGTCAATAAATTATAAATATGAAAAAGCATCAATGAGGAAAAGTCTCACTTTACCTGAAAAACACACAAGTGTATGAAAATACAGAGATGAATGCCCTCAGAAAATGAAACAAAGAATTAGCTTGTGTCATAATTTCCCAAGGGGAACTCTCATTGCAGATACCAATGGATATCAATAAGGCTGGTTTTGCATTCCTTGTTCAGGAAATATTCTTTCTAACTTAAATTGTCTGAACAAGGAATGCAGGATCAGGCCCAAAAGAAGGCAGAAATCGCAAAATTAGCACAGCCCTGTATTCTGAATTTCTGTAGACTACGTTTAGATTGTAAAGGGATGAAAAAAGATAAGTGGAAAAATGCCTTTATTTACTCCTTACCTGATCCTGAGAAATTGTCTAAAGACCCGTCTGCTGTAGTAGTAGCAATCTCACTGCTGCTCATTGGTTCTGTTTTAACTAGAAGTATAAATAAAATATATTCTACATACACCTAATATTTGTACACATATACACATATGTGCATGCATGCATGCATGCGCACACACATGCATGCGCGCGCGCACACACACACACACTAGTCACAAATAGAATTGAAACAGAATCTATTAACAAATATTTTAAATTCTTTGTATGCCTCTATTTTTCATTTTATCTATTCAAATGATTTTAAAAAATCTATTTCTGTTCCCAAGAAATAAAAGCCACTGTAACAAACTAGAAGATATTGTTCTGGACAATAATTATGTTGAATCACAATGCAACTCTGACTCTTCTTAATCCATACTCAACAGTCTATAAGAAGCTGTATTTCAATAAGCAGAGAGTTGTTGTTTCTAGGCTGAAGAACAAAGTTTTCAGCAGTGATCTGAATGAAGCAAACACTGAAAATTGCCTTAATAGGCTGGTAAAAAATCTTCTATTCAAAAAATGTTTTGAACCAGAACCAGACATCATTTTTAAAATGCTGAAATCTTTGATTATTCAGAGAACTGACTCCCTTAAAATTAACAAAAACCTAAACTGTTTCTGTATTAGAATTTTGGCCGGGAAAAAATCTAAATTTTTCATTGGGGAAAAGTACTGTTGTTCTGACCAACTCTAATTTCTTCCTCAAAGTGGAATTTTACTCTCTAAATGACTATGTAACAATAGCAACTTATTCTGCAATGATAAATACACAGAAGAAACAAAGTCATTACTAGTTACTTTATTGCCAACAAAGTTATTATTATTTATTCCAGTTTGTAGTGCAGACACAACACAACATTTTTGGAACAGGACTTTTTCTGACTCATTCTTCCTCATGAATCAGTCAATTAAGCTCGCAGTTAAGAGACAAAAGGGACAGACTTCCAGTTACTCCAGTCCAGCCTGACCAAAGGTATAACCTAGATGCTCAGACTGAGGTAAGGGTGAGAAGTGGCCTTAAATTAGCATGTGTACTAAAAAGATTAAAATATAAAGCCAGAACTTTGTATAAGAATTTATTAAGACTAAACAAGCTACAGAGTGAGACTACAAAGTTCCACTTTTACATATTTGCTGTTAACAGTATACCTCTCACTAAGCAACTACAGCCTTGATTCTTACTGATTTTGCCTAGGATTTAGAATTAGCATTGGCAGAAAGCCATATGGAGCTTGTAAACTGAACATGACAGAACACAAGAGGAGTGTTCCTCTTCTGATTTCTACGTGTGCCTCTCTCTCTGAGACCTTCTGTGTTTCTTCATGCCAGGAAAAGTAGGAGCAGTTGTGTGTATATGCATAATATTAATATAATTTATTCAAAGAATAGTAACTAGATTGACAAACTGATTTTTGTCCATATAAACTGCAAGCTTCTCATTTATGGCACTTTATCTTGGTAAGTAACCTATCCCCAAACCCTTCAATATTTCTAATATTCTTAGCTACTCTCTTTTCACTCCCATGCAGGATTTTTTTCCCTGGAATACCCATTTCAAGTAGATCCACATTCAGCCCATGCAGAATTTTATAACTTCTAGTGAGCTTACAATATATTAAAAGTCACCAGACCTAACCTAAAGCAATGAATGGGTTAGAAAATATTTAGACAGGCCATTTTCAAAAAAGTAGCATCTCCTCATTAAATAAGAATGTTTGTTCGGAATTGAACAACATTTTCATTTTTTTTCTTTGATTGGGTTTTGGGATTGCTACCATAGCTAAACCCTAATGATACATACTTTACAGGTTATTGGAAGCCCTAGCTACTTGTATTCTCTTTGTCCTATAGCAAAACAATAGTAGAGCTATAGTTCAGTGTAAAACTAACACGAGGGCTCTTATGTTTAATTTTATAGCAAAATATAACCCTATCTGAAGAGCTCAGAGTGAGGAAAATGAAAGAGTAGGGACAGAATTTAGGAATCTATCTTACAAGTCATCCAAGATGGGCCCCACTCCAAGACTGGCAAAATTGTTAGGGCCTTGGATTTGGAAGATACAAAAATCTAGAACTCCCTCCTCTGAAAGACTACAAAACCTGGCACCCTCCTCCATGATCTCTAAGCTGTTTACATTTACACTTTAGACAGCCATTGATTTAAAAAAAACAAAAGAAAACAGAACAACTGTTCTGGGGAGAGGGATTTAACGGTAGGGGTCTACTACAGACCCCCCAACCAAGGGGAGGAGCTGGACCGGGAATTTTCGGGCCAGCTTGCAGAGGCACTTAAGGCAAGGGATGTAGTTGTCATGGGTGATCTAAATTACCCGGATATCTGCTGGGAGGAGCGTCAGCCAGGCCGGACTGTTCCAGGAGGTTCCCGGCCGAGATACAGGACCTCCACTTAACCAAGGTGCACAGTCCCACCAGAGGAAATGTCCTGTTGGACCGGGTTTCAAGATGGACCTGGTCCTGGTCATAGGCAATGATCTGGTAAGGGGGCTCCAGGTTCTTGACCACCTGGGTGATAGTGATCATCGCTTGCTGAAATTCATCATCCAGCGCAGGGTGTCAAGGGCCTGCAGCAAGGCTGTAGCCCTAGACCTCAAGAGGGCCAAGTTCAAGGAGTTGAAGAGATTGGTGGGAGAGGCAGGTCCAGATGCTCTCCACCCCAGGGTGTTGAGGGAGCTAACAGAGGTTATTGCTGGGCCCTTGGCATGGCTTTATGAGCGCTCATGGTGCTCGGGCCAGATGCCAGATGATTGGAAGATAGCCAATGTGGTCCCCATCTTTAAGAAAGGGAGGACCCAGGCAACTATAGGCCTGTCAGTCTTACCTCAATCCTGGGGAAACTCTTTGAGGAGATCATCAAGGAGCACATCTGTGATGGGCCGGCATCGGGGATGATGCTCAAGGGCAACCAGAACAGTTTCATTAGGGGCAGATCATGTCAGACCAACCTGATTGCCTTTTACGATCAGGTCACAAAAGCATTGGATGCAGGTGTCGCCGTGGATGTAGTCTTTCTGGACTTCACCAAGGCCTTTGACACTGTCGACCACCCCATCCTCATTAAAAAACTAGGCGACTGTGGCATCGATGCCTATGCAGTCAGATGGATTGCTAATTGGCTGAAGGGTCGTACTCAGAGGGTGGTGGTGG